CGAAACATACCTACCTCATTGTTGTGAGTGCTTCTGCATAAACACAAATATCTGGCATTTTAAACGAATTTTTTTCTTTTTGCTCTTTAATTTCTAAAACAATAATTTTTTGATTTGAAATCAAAATTTTTTTTATTTTGAAATTCATTATAATGTTGCTAGTTTCAAATGGGTTAGCGCAATGACAAAACCGTTGTCATATAAGCGTATAAAAAATAAATATGTCATATATTGATTTCACTTTGCTTATTACACTATGGTTTTCTTGAAAACGGCATATTGATAATGAAATTGCTTCTCAACTTGAATGCAGCCTACGTAATGGTTTTCAATTTTGATGATTTTTGACCATGGTACAATGAAAACAGGTAGAAGCCAATTTGACGTCAAACCTACAAAAGTCAAAGTTTTCGGGAGTAAAAATAAAAATGAGCGTGTGTAAGGAAAAATGAAAAAATTACATTTCACTGGGTGACGTTTTTAAGTAAATTTGAAGTTTAATTTTATTTATTTATTTTCTTTAGTTAAAATTTGTTAAAATGTTTGTTGTTTTCTGTCTTTGATTTATAAGTTGCAGTGTTGTTGGAGGGACTTTCCGGCATAATCGTCATAGTAACAGCACTTGGCATCAAACGTGCCTTTCCTGTACCTCCCGGTGCATTTACAAAATCTGCTGCATTAAAATGATTAACGCACAGCAAGGCATTTCGCTGCAGCTATGCCCCACAGCTACTTTCGCAACGCTCCTTACGCGAAGGACATTGAGGCACGTTAAAAAATTAGTGGTATTTGGTTTATATTTAACACCACATAAAAACAACGCTTCAGGTGTTCATTTTTAACACATACACTAAGTATAAACCGCACAATACTACACAAATTCAAGTGTTAATTAAAATTTGTTTTTAACGAACATTCAAAAAAAAAAAAAGACAACCGACATGGCATTTGAAGCGTAACGAAATATAGGAAATAAAAGAAAACTAAGTTGAACCCCCTTATTCTAGAACCCGAATTTCNGTAAACCTCAAGTAAATGTCAATTACACCAATTTACAAAAGTATTTATTAACCCCCTTGTTCTAGAACCCGAATTTCCGTAATTCGTAATTCGTAGCTACGCTACGAAAAACGAAAAATCCACATGCTGCAACCCTTGCGGAAACATGTGCAGCGTTGGCAGCTATCAGTTGTTTTTCGAAGATAGCTGAATGAAGGAAAACAAAGTGGTAAGGAATTAAAAAAACACTCATCATGTGCTTGTTTACTGTAAAATTAGTTAATTTTACATATTTCGAGAAAAATTATGGATTCTGATGTATTTGCAATTATAGCAGCAGAGTAAGCGGGCGCTATGGCAATAGATTCACAAAAGTATGCGGAGCTGTCGGGCATAGTAACCATGGGCGCATCTATGTCAGCTTCTGGTTGAATTGTTGAACCACAAGCCAGAACACCTATGCCTGAAGCTCTGGTTCTCAATCCAGTTAATGCAATAACAGCTTCTTCCAAGCCATTGAAAACATGCACTTTGTTAGGTCCACCACCTGTTGCGCTTGCATCTGCCTTCGGCCGCGCTTAGGGATTATAACCCTTACTAAGTAGAATTCTCCTTTCTGTGTTGCGGGGAAGAGGGGCTTCCGCATGTCAAAGGTATACAACATTTCACTCTGGCTACGCCGTCCGAAGTATTTATGCGCAGAACCCACGTCGAAATTTGCAAACAAGTGCATAGTGCAAACCGAGTTTATTAATAAGCTAGTGGTAGGAAATTTGAAACATTTATCTTAAATAAAATGTGAATCCCTTGATTACACGTGTATGTTAAAGTTTTTTTGTGTTCGGGTTATGCGTTTGGACACAACAACCGAAAATCGTTGTACATTAACTAAACCGGACCCAAGTTTCTCGATAAGGGGCAACAAATATTCTTTTTTGCTCGTTTATATAAAGCAGTGGATAAAAATATACGTATATGAGAAAGGCAAATTTATCTGTTTAAATCAGTGCCCGCCAAAAAGAGAAAAGTCTTAAAATGAGAATGTATTAGTTATGAAACAAAAAATGAGAATGTGTTGGTGGTAATGCACGGAAAGAANGGTACAATAAAAACAGGTAGAAGCCAAATTGACATTAAACCTACAAAAGTCAAAGTTTTCGGGAGAGTAAAAATAAAAATGAGCGTGTGTAAGGAAAAATAAAAAATTCCATTTCACTGGTTGACGTTTTTAAGTAAATTTGAAGTTTAATTGTATTTATTTATTTTCTTTAGTTAAAATTTGTTAATTTGTTTGTTGTTTTCTGTCTTTGATTTATAAGTTGCAGTGTTGTTGGAGGGACTTTCCGGCATAATCNCACCGTGCGACAAAAACCAAAAATTTCTAAAACACTCGAAAAAAGAATATATTCACAAAATACGAGCTACATATAGTATAAGTGCGGGTTTAATGTTTCTCTATGACGTTAGGATTTTTTTTTAAGGGCTTCTAGGATATTATTAAATTACAAAATTATTTAAAAGATTTGGTGCATTGTAGAGTAAATGGGAATGATTTCACAAAGATATGCGGAGCTGTCGGGCATAGTAACCATGGGCGCATCTATGTCAGCGTCTGGTTGAATTGTTGAACCACAAGCCAGAACTCCTCCTATGCCTGAAGCTCTGGTTCTCAATCCAGTTAATGCAATAACAGCTTCTTCCAAGCCATTGAAAACATGCACTTTGTTAGGTCCACCACCTGTTGCGCTTGCATCTGCCTTCGGCCGCGCTTAGGGATTATAACCCTTACTAAGTAGAATTCTCCTTTCTGTGTTGCGGGGAAGAGGGGCTTCCGCATGTCAAAGGTATACAACATTTCACTCTGGCTACGCCGTCCGAAGTATTTATGCGCAGAACCCACGTCGAAATTTGCAAACAAGTGCATAGTGCAAACCGAGTTTATTAATAAGCTAGTGGTAGGAAATTTGAAACATTTATCTTAAATAAAATGTGAATCCCTTGATTACACGTGTATGTTAAAGTTTTTTTGTGTTCGGGTTATGCGTTTGGACACAACAACCGAAAATCGTTGTACATTAACTAAACCGGACCCAAGTTTCTCGATAAGGGGCAACAAATATTCTTTTTTGCTCGTTTATATAAAGCAGTGGATAAAAATATACGTATATGAGAAAGGCAAATTTATCTGTCTAAATCAGTGCCCGCCAAAAAGAGAAAAGTCTTAAAATGAGAATGTATTAGTTATGAAACAAAAAATGAGAATGTGTTGGTGGTAATGCCCGAAAAAAAATTCTGTGTTGTATTACTTTTTATAAAAACTTTGGTATGTTTTTTTGCCGTTTTTTCATTGTGCGCTATTTTTTAGATCTAAACAACATAGAAACATATAATGAAAGTTAACGGCCCTAAGAAAGGAAAAAGTTGGTAAAATTTTGTATGTATTGTACAAAATTATTATTATATTTTTATAATTTAAGTGTGGATTTCTGAGCAAAAAAGACAACGTGATTCGAGCACTCTGAATATTAAAAGAAAATTTCGTTGATTTCAAGTAGAAATAAAATAAAAATATATATATCTAATATATATTTATTTTAAAATTAGGTAAAACTTGACATTTAAGAACAATTTAAAATAACGATTAAACCAAAAGATAAATAACAAAACATATTGTATGTTTTAATTGAGGACTAGTCTGGTATTAAAAAAAAAAACATAATTCACAAAGTTCTTTTAATATGAAGAAAAAGCACGACTTGGTACCATAGACATACCTATTTCTAGGGGTGTATGAACGAAAAATTGTGTTATAAAATTTTTGAATAAATATTCTTTCATTCTGCTCAGTGTACCTATTTTATTCAACAATAATGCGTCATCAACCTGCTCCGCCTATTGTTTGCATGCAACTAAATAAAATTTGTTGCTCTTCTACTCTTTCTGTTGACGTTCGGATTGTGTACGTGTAAGAAGCCGATTGTGTACATGTGAAAGGCCGAATATAGTTCGTTTCCCAGGAAAGTGTTTGGCGGGCACTGGTTTAAATGAACACCACCAATATTTCATGCAAACACACATTGATTTACATCTTTTATTTCGCCTCCGACACAGAATTGTTTTCGTACAAAATTACGCAAAAAAGCTTACTCGTTCGTTTTTAGGTATGCCATTGTTTAGAATTTCGAAAATTCGAAAATACGATTCGGATTGCAGCATACTATTTCTACGATTCGTAGCAAAAACCGAATACGAAAGAGTTGCAGAATAGGGGTGGAAGTTTAAAGGTTTGATTCTCATGAGAGCAACATCATTTTGGCTTCTACCTGTATTTATGCGCCTTGATTTTTGACAAGCAATGTGTGTGAGGAAATTGAAAGGCAAAACTGATTGTGTGTCGTCAACGTAACAAAACCCATATTAACCAACTTTGTAGAAAACTACAAAAAAATTCAACAAAGTTTCACTAAAATTTCAAACTATTTTCTTAGAAGGGTTAAAATTTTTTTGAGTACACAATTTTATAGCCTATTCAATTTTAGGCTAACAATATGCAAGTTTCAAGTGGCTAAAAATCACCGTTGATTTTTTTGAATTTTTTTCGCCGAAGGTGATGCGGGTTTCTTCTATATAAAAATAAATTGATTTTATTCGTTATATGGAAACAAATACGACAAAAAAAAATTCTAAAAAATCAACGGTAATTTTTAGCCACTTGAAACTTGCACATTGTTAGACTAAACTTCTGTGAAAAAAGTTTGAAGTTTAGGTGCGAATTTGTTGAATTTTTTTGTAGTCTTTTGCAAAGTTTAAAACTTGGATTTATATGGGTTTTGTTAGATAATGAACTTTTTTTTTAATTGAAAATTCTTAAAAATTAATAATTAAACATAAGTGGCAAACAATATCACTATGAAGTGGGGGTGCTATAGATATGGCCAATACTGTATATCTATGTAGAGTTTTAACATTGAATCGAACATTAAATTTAAAATATATTGCAGGAAATAGCTGGAGAATTTGAAAGTATTTTGGATCCTTTGTTACATTCCGTTTCATTAAGCCCTAAAGAAGTGGTAGCAGATAGTACTTTTCAGTTGGCTACATTTGATAGTGCGAGTAAAGCTATTGATCGTTGTTGGATGGAAGGCGTCTATCTAAAAGAGATATTTCCTAAATTCTTAAAGTTAAACTTGCAAATACTATTACGTCTTTCTCGCTGGGTACAGGACGCCATACAGCTCATTACAAATGGCGATTTAAAAAGTAATAGCCTTCGGGAATATAACCTGGAAATGCATAAATCAGATTTGCTCATAGCACTATATGCAGATTTACAGAAACTTATAGAAAATATGCCGCAAATACAGCAAAATATAAATGAAAATATACCCTCTGAAGTGAAAAGTATAACTACTGTGTACAATGCCATAGGCAAATCTTTCAACGATTTGCGGGAATCGCTCAATAAATCTTTATTTATGATTCTAGATGCTCTGGTTGACATTCTGGTGTTTGTGAGTGGTATAGAAAATGTTCGTCAAGTAAAAGATTTGCCTCGGCTTTATCGAAAAACAAACAGGGAGATACCCTCAAAGCCTTCTGCATATGTTGACCAAATACTACGTCCATTGAAATCTTTCCAAAAACAGAAATGTTCGCAAATGGGAAAAATGGTGGCGTTCGAAATTTTAAAACGTGTTTGCTCAAAGATAACAAAAGAGTAAGTAACAACATTTTGATCAATTAGCATGAAGAGTTCTTATACGAATACATCGCTAGTTTAGAGTGAAAAGTTGCTAAGACCAATTTTTCAAATTTTATAGGATAGAAGTAAACCTATCAAAGCTCCCACTAGAACTTGAAGGGACAACTCCCAATGTGACGAATAAAAGAGTCGTCCCTTAGGACTCATCTCGGAGAAATAAGAGAATTGTCGACTTTGACCTACTTTATAACTCATTAACGAGTCAAATGGGAGATCTCCTAATTGAGAATCAAAAGAATACTCCCATAGACATGATTTCGCAACAAGCGATATTTGCCGATTTTGTACTATATTACTTTATTGGGAGCAAAAAGCGATGTCTCTTAAGAGAGCGGTCCAGGAGTATTACTGTTGATTGATAGGGGAGCTATACGCTCCACGCTCAAAACAATTTTGGCCCTTATTATGAGTTGCATTCGATTTTCGATCTTCGCTGGCTATCGAAGATCGAAAGTGAAATTCGTATAATGAGCTATGCAAGCGTGTCGAAATTTTCGTTGAGTATCTAATTTTTTCTCGAACGGAATTTTGCTTTCGTTGGTGTAGCGAAATGTTAGAACATTTTAAAAATGTACGATTTTGCATTTGTTGTCTTACTTTTTGGCGGCTAGACACTAATTTTAAACCATTTGTATTAATTTCAAGCAGTTCTAACGTCGTGAATAGTAAACACAAGCTCGAAATTCTGGTTTTACATATGAAAGAAAATCCCCCCAAACCCACCCCACTAGAAAGGGGACAGTCCCCGCTTTCTAAAAAGGCATGCCCCCCTTGGGCTCCTCCCACGGGCCCCTAGGGAAGCATTTGAAAAAGGGGGAAAACGGAATTTTCTTAGGCAAACTGAGCAGTTTGAAGTGGAATATGACCCAACTAACAGAAACCGTGGGATTTTTTAATAAAAGAAATTATGCCAAACAAGTTTTTATAAGAAAAATGTTCTTTTTAACAAATGCATTTTTGCGTAGAATTCCTTTCTGCGTAGGCGGCCTTCGGCCGCACTTAGGGATTATAACCCTCAGGCAGTAGAATTCCCCCTTCTGTATTGCCAAATAAGGGGGGCTGAACACCTTTTGCAGAGAACACCTTTCTGCGTAGACGGCCTTCGGCCGCACTTAAACNGAATTCCTTTCTGCGTAGGCGGCCTTCGGCCGCACTTAGGGATTATAACCCTCAGGCAGTAGAATTCCCCCTTCTGTATTGCCAAATAAGGGGGGCTGAACACCTTTTGCAGAGAACACCTTTCTGCGTAGGCGGCCTTCGGCCGCACTTAGAGATTATAACCCTCAGGCAGTAGAATTCTCTTTTCTGTTTTGCGAAGAAAAGGAGCTGAACGCCTTTTGCAGAGAACACCTTTGTATATTTTTAATGCTTACTGGGTTATATTCTATCTTCTTTTGTCTCTCATTCTTTTGCATGTTTTGGAGTTTGACAGCTGAACTCCGCCATATAATTTGCATATGTAACCAATGTCAGGCGCGTGATTTTGAAGGTGTTTTTATTTAATGAATTGTGATTAATTGGTTAATATTAAAGTCGTAAAGCAAATTATAACTAATCGAGTAAAATGTAAAGTGAACGGGAATAGAAAAATGTATTGGTGAAGTGGCTGCTTTAAGGAGAATAGGAGTGATAAATGTACGCTAATTTCCGAATTTTACAAAAGGGGCATATTTCAAACCCAATTGGTACTTAAATTAGTGACCAAAATTTACAAAACTGAGTGTTAAAATATTGCGTAAACCCTTGACTACAAGTGTGTGGAATTTTTTTTTGGATCGGGCCACCCCTTTGGACGGAATAGCCCGAAATAATTGTGAGCGCTACTAAACCCCACCCAAAATTTTTTTTACCACTTTTATAAACTCGCTTTCTTTTTTATTTCATTTGGAACACCTAAAGAATACTGACCTTTGAGCTAGAGAGAAAAAAAAAGTTGGGCGTTGCCCGCCCCCTTTTCCGGATTTTTACGAAATATTTTTTTTTTGGTGCAAATTGACAGGGGCGGCGATAGGGAGGGCCAAACGTGGAATTTTCAACATTTTCAAAAGCTTATATTTCGAAAACTATTAAACCGATTTTCTAAATATGGACACAGTTGGAAAGATGATTGAAGGGCCTTTCATTCGATATATATATCTATGTATATAATGTATACACATTGCGAGAAAAGGTAAAAAACGAAATTACGGCAATTTTTTTCATAAAAATTTATGTTTTTCTTTAAAAAATACGTAATTAACTATATTAACAGATATGTTTATCAGAAAGAGCACAAAAAACCCGTTAATTTGATATATGACTTGTAGCAAAAAATTCTTTGGACATCATATTTGACTAAATATATATAAAAATATAGTTTTATAAGAAAAAGGAAAAGCGCCGCAGGCGAAAATTTGGAATAAGAAATCGCGCGATAGAAAATCTTACTCTCTTTAGTTTTTACAAAAATTGAATTAAATTAAAAAAAATAATAATAAAGAAATATTAACAAACCATTTTTTTTAATCACCTTATTTGTTATAAGATTGAGTTGTAGAATTAAATGGATAATTCATCAAGCTACATTATCCACAGTATTTTTGCGTAGAATTCTTTTCTGCGTAGGCGGCCTTCGGCCGCGCTTAGGGATTATAACCCTCACTACGTAGAATTCTTCTTTCTGTGTTGCCAAATAAAAGGGGCTGAACACCTTTTGCAGAGAACATATAACATTAATACAGTTGTTTTATTGCACTGCTGGCAGTTGTACTTAAACCTAACTATATGGAATTATACGCCAAATTAAAGGTATTTTTATGGACTTTCCGATAAATTTATTTGTTACTATAGTTAATTACGCATTTTTTTACGAAAAACATACATTTTTATAAAAAAAATTGCCATCATTTCGTTTTTTTACTTATTCTCAAAATATGTTTGCATTATATACATAGATATATATATTGAATGAAAGGTCCTCAATTACCTTTCCAACTGTGTCCATATTTTGAAATCGGTTCAATAGTTTTCAAAATATAAGCTTTTGAAAAAGTTGGAAATTCCACGTTTAGTCCCCCTAACGCCGCCCCTGTCAATTTAAACTCAACCCTGTCAATTAAACTCAGCGGAAAGGGGTGCACCACGTCCACGTTTTCTTTTTTCTCTAGCTCAAGGGTCGGTATTCTTTAGGTATGCCTTTCATTTTAATTTGCACAAATTTACATATGTACATATGTATAAGCACACTATTTAGTATGCTCGATCAGTAAACAAAGCTTCTCAGCGGTGAAAAATATACTATTGTGAACAACCTAAACGAGCGAAATTCACAATAGCGCTATACTTCATCGAATGAGCGCCATAATACCAAATGAAAACTCGTTCGATCAGCACTTTCGACCACAGTTGAAGATCGAATGCTACTCATAATAGGGGCCAATGTTTCATGAAGAAAACAAGACAGATATGTAACTTATACGTATGCTAAACTTCAAAGAACTGTTGTTGTTGTTGTAACAGGATACATATACAGAGTTTTTGGGGAGTGTTGCTGGAGTGACAGTCCTTGTCCAGATATAGGCCCCTATTATGAGTTGCATTCGATCTTCGACTGTGATCGAAAGTGCTGATCGGACGAATTTTCATTTGGTATATACTATATATTTTCATGAAGAAAACAAAACAGATATGTAACTTATACGTATGCTAAACTTCAAAGAACTGTTGTTGTTTTTGTAACATCATACATATACAGAGTTTTTGGGGAGTGTTGCTGGAGTGACAGTCCTTATCCAGATATAGGCCCCTATTATGAGTTGCATTCGATCTTCGACTGTGGTCGAAAGTGCTGATCGGACGAATTTTCATTTGCTATATACTATATATTTTCACCGCTGAGAAGCTTTGTTTACAAATCGAGCAAACTAAATGGTGTGCTTATACATATGTACATATGTAAATTTGTGCAAATTAAAATGAAATAAAAAAGAAAGCGAGTTTATAAAATCGTAGTAAAAATTAGCACAACTGAGTTCTGGACCGATTCGTCAGAGGATGAGAGCTTAGAAAACTGGCCAGGAGGAGAAAACGTTTAAAGGAGTTTAAGTGTAGTCTTTCGAATATATTTTGACATACAATATATTTAAGAAATTTTGTGATCCAAATCTATTTTAAATATATTAAAACTATAAGCAGCTCTATGATTTTGTTCAGAGATCGTGAGAACAGAGTGTTGGTATTTTCTTTCATAAGTAAAGCCTTTCGAGCTTGTGTTTAGTATTCACGACGTTAGAACTGCATGAAATTAACAAAACTCGTTTAAAATTAGCCAAAAAGTAAGAAAACAAAGACAAAATCATACATTTTTCACAACTTTCTAACACTACGCTACACCAACGAAAGCAAAATTCTGTTCCGACAGAAAATTCGATACTCAACGAAAATTTCGACCCGCTTGCATAGCTTATAATACGAATTTCTCTTTGATCTTCGGTAGCCAGCGAAGAACGAAAATCGAATGCAACTCATAATAAGGGTCTATATGAATTCGCCTTAGGTTTCTTGTAAATTAGGTTTGAAATTTTGAAATTCGTGCAGTATTTTGTTTGTAAGTCAAATATTTGCGAATATTTAAAATTGCTTAAGGCCGTTTGTTATAATTCCGTGAAAATCCACGGCTATATAGAAGAATTGAGGAAAACATAGTTTGGCTCCTGTGGAATAAAGGTAAATCACGACAAAAAACACCACAACCTATTACTTAATTGTTAAATAACGACGAATCGAATGAGCTTTGAAGAAGAGTTTAGTATCTTTAGATGTTGAGATGAGCATTAGTTCCTTCAAATCAATGCTTTTCGATAGTAGCATGAGGCTATAGCCTGAAAATTTTAAAATACACTTAGTGTCACGGCCTAATATCATAGTCAAGTTTAAAGGCAGTGTCACACGATTGGGCATTTGCCCAAAATTTGGTG